ATTACCACTACTTTCAAGCTTGGAGAGATCTACGAGGAGCAGCTTCCATCTGCAGGTCTCAGCTTTAAAGTAGGTTCTTTCATCGAAAGAAAAATAGAATTACTTCAATCGTTAAGTATCACGCGAGAATCATATTACATCATCAAATATGAATATTAAATTTAAAAATTAATATAATAAATTATTCTTCTATATTGGAATACAATGTACAGGCTACGTTTAGCAGAATATTTATTTTTCAATTGTTGGAAGTTTTCCTTTTTGCGCTGATTGGATTATACTTTTTGATCTAGAGGAATGGTTCTATATTTTAGCGAAGAAAACTTCCTATAGTTATAAAATATTTTGCTGAATGCAGCAAAGAAGCTACGAGATTCCGAGATTTGATATTCCGGAGAAGATAAGTTAGAAAGAATATTCGTGTGTATAGAAAATCATTAGATAAAATAACTTCCGCATGATTAGTGATTTTTCGTATAACTCACGTCAATTTGCGAGCTAAATAGTGAGTCTTCTTTTTCTATTTCTCTCGCACAAAAGTGCGAGATAATTCAACGATAGTTGAAGAATACAAAAATCTGAGAAACTCCAATTAAAAATTGGCCCCGTTCAGAATGTTTATTTTGCGACTATTAGAAATTTTTTTTTCTCTGAGAGGTAGGACTATTCTTTTAAATCTAAAAAATATGATCTAATCAGTACGAAGAAAAACTTTCAATTAGTTGCAAAATAAACATTCTGAATAATTTTCGGTCAATTTTTAATTTAATATTCTATCAAATATCCATCATGTACTCTAAAATCTTTAAATAAATCTCACTATGAAGAGACTGAAAGTTAAGCAACTCTTCCAAAACTGATTCAATTTTCACTTTGTAGAGTGAAATTCCATTCTAAAGAATTTAAATATCTTACACGTTCTAACATTATTTTTGCAATAAGTATAGTTGATTATTACATCGTTATGTATTCGTTTTATGTCGCAGAGCGTGACCACGAAGGAAAGTAACGGTTTGAAAACGGAGACCACCTTATCCGCAGGTATCATAGCGATCCGAAATTATGAATTCACAGACACTGAAATGATTGTGGTAAGTGTAATTTCAATAATAATGTGTTACATAAACAATGCCATATAAGCAATAGAATATAAACGATCCTGAGAAAAATGTTTGGTTGTATCCAGTTGAAAATAAACAAATCTGAATTTTCTAATTAATCTACTCGAGAGAGAAATCTAATCGAGATAATCGAAATACTGATTGACAGATCCAGAATCTTCTGATTCGTCCAACCAGAAATTTTTCTTAATGTGCGACGATGATGCAAAGTGATAAAGTGCATAAGCCTTACACGTTTCTTCTTTTCCATTTCAGCATCTATCCTCCAACGAGAGCGACGCTCAAGCCAAGCGTATATACAAAAGATTGTAAAGCCGGTTCCTAATTTAAAAATAGCAGTACATAATATCACACTTCATTAAAGAGATTGGAATATACAAGAGTGCTTTTTTTCTTTTTGTTCACTTACTCCATTTCCCCGAGATGAGACGAGAGGTCAATCGAGTAGGACAAGAGGAAGTATATATAATGCTGGATATAACACTGTTCAAACGTAATATTTATTTATTCAATTATTATGAATTCTGAGGAAAAAAAAGAATAAAATGGTGACAAATACGCGTACACAAGAAAGTCGGAATAACATGTATACGAAACGCGCATGTGAAACGCTAAGCTACGCTCCCTCGTTGATGCGGAGCATTTGCTGCATTTTAATGCATATCATATCGAATATGTGTGCGTGTGTACAGGATACATATTCTTGAGAATCGCATATGAAAATGTATAAAAATACCACAGTATACATTACATGTAACATAGATTTTTCTAGTATTTTCACATGCGATATTTTTCGAGAATAAAATTCCTGATCGATAGCGTGGAGCCGCTTACGCAGTAGTCTCATATCCCTTTGCATTAAACGTATTCATCTTAAAAAGAATTGCCGGTCTTTTTAATCCTTGATTTCATCGTGCTTGTGGGAAGGCTCATTTAACGCTCGCGTTGTGGGCGCACATAAAAAATATTGCGAGCATGTATCGATTCTGATAAAATAAGACGAAAGTATATTTCACGATCGGAGGTCAAACAGGATAAAAAAAAAGGGGGGGGGGAACCATTTTCGATCGAAGTTTCCATAGTATTAGACGTCGTCGAGCGCGCGCTCCTACAGTGGAAGTTCGAAACGCAAGGGAAAAGAAGATTTGAGATTTGTGCGGTGCCTGAAAGCTTTAAACGCGCGCACACGACGATTATCCACAATCGATGATCGGCGCTGAGAAAAGCAGGATCCAAATGTTTGGTTAGAGAAGATTTAATAAGAGCAACCAAAATATTATATCAGAGAGACACAGTATGCCTTTGGTTCCGTTTAATGAATTTTCTCTTTTTCACTAAACCTTTGGATTCCTTTTCTCTTTCTCCGTTCATATACATATATAAACTTCTTCTGGCTTCTCTAGTGCATATTATTCGAATTTATTTAATATAGTACTGTAAGATATATCACATTAAACCATAGGGTGCTGTACACATAGATTAGATAGTATTATATTATCATGATTACGAGTCAGTATATATCTCGCAATGAATTCAACTTCAAAAAATAGGAACAAACAAGAATAAATATACGCTTCCCTCTCCTCCATTCTTTTTCTTTTTTGTGATTCGAGTAAAATTATGTCGCGAGTAATCGTTATCAATTATAATTGCGCATATAAAATTAAAAAATTGTAAAAAATCCATATATTTTATCGAGTTTCATTAAAGATTAACATACTGCCATTATCGGAGCCGAGTCTATTTTCAGAAGCCGCCACGAGCACTATCTGAGCCCTCTCAGACAATCTCAGGCCCGCGGATCAGTTGAAAATAATGACGCATGAGAACGCATCCGAATTATATTTACACAACAAGACTATCGATCTTTATTACGATAAGGCAGCAGTTGTTAAAAGCAATGTTTAGGGTATGCCTTGTTCTTGTTAGACTAATATCTCTGTCACATATGTATGCATTCACGTAAGAACAATAAAAAATTTTTCGATTTGACATGCATGTATAAATCCCTAAACACTACTCTAGTGAATGTCCCGACGCGCAGTCGTGCTCTGTCCGTTAAATAATAATAAGAAGGAGAAACCTATATGTCGGTTCACCCGCGACGACGTGTAATTCCTAGGCCGACGTATGTTGTCGCGAAGCGGCGGACAGTTCGCAGCTTATCGATCGATTGTTCAATCGGCGATCAGTTGATTATCGATCGGCATGTTCACCGGCGACGCATCCTTTAGCGGTACGTCGTCCTCGGGCTTGTTCGTTGCTGTTATGACAGCGTCCTCCTTGGTAATTCCATTCTGCAATACCTTGGCCTCACTCGATAATCGCTTCGTCACAGTAGTGGAGGTAGTCCTCGACGTAGACTTCGATGTCAGAGTTTTCTTCGTTGGCGAGGTCGCGGAAGCGTTTCCAGACGATTTCCCAGTCGATGTACGAGTCTTTGCAATGCCAGTAGCTGTACCGATAGGTACGGAAGAGCGAGCACTCGTTTTAGGCACCGATGCTCCAGAACGAGAAATTTGCTTATTGACTGTCTCTTTGCTCTGTTTGTCAATCAATGGCGACTTCCCAGTGGCTGTGATCGTTTTACTTTCGCGTGGCTTGGTTGTGCCACCAGAAGTCGGAGCGGTCTTGGGTCGCGATGCACCGTTAACGCCGGTTGTAGGCTGCTTTAATGTCGATGCGGATTTAGTAGCTAAAGTCGCAGACATGGGTCTTGGTTTTGACGTTACATTGGATGTTGATGTTTTTGTAGCCGTTGACGTTTTGACAAGTGTCTTTGCGGTTGTGCTAGTAGTTGTTGTTCTAACAGTGGTGCTCGCTGGTTTCGTGGTGGCGGGTTTGCTGGCCAATTTCGTGTCACCACTCACCGTTGACTTCTTCTCGATTGATGCTGGAGTACTCACTTTCAACGAGGTAGTAGTGGTGGTGGTAGTTTTTGGTCTCGTAGCGGACCGTGGAGAAGCACTGGTTCTCGTCGCTGTTGTACTTTTGGGTAGCACCGTTGTCTTTGTGGTGGTGGTTTTACCGCTAGCGCTTGAGACTGTCGTTTTAGTCGATCCTTCCAATTGCTTAGGACGAGTCGCGGTACTCGTAGCAGTTTTTTTCAAGGTTAATTGTGATGCCGGTAAAGACGTCGTAGTTGTTCGCATGGTCGTACTGATCGCTTTAGAGGGCGAAGTTGGCGATTTCGTTGCTGCTTTCGTTGTTGTTTTCGTCACGGTAGTTTTTGTTGGACGTTTCGCGCTCGTTGTAGTGGTAGTCTTCGCTTTCGAGCTCGCAATGACGACGGCTGCTGCCGTTGCAACGACGGCGGCTTCCACTGATACTTGCGCGACTTCCGTTTCTTTCGACTTGTCTATCGTTGCGATATCTTCAAGAACTTCTACAGTCTTTTGCAATTCTACAATCTCTTCCTGTTTCGGAGGAATATTTTCAGAAGTAATTTCTTCCTTCAATACCTCCTCATCAACATTAGCCGATACAAATTCCGCAGCCTTTTCTTCTATTTGTTCTTGCTTAATTGACTCATTAGTTAGTATTGTTATCGGTACAGATTCTTCAAACATCTGGTTTTCATGTTGCAGCTCCTCTTCCATAAAATTAAATTTATGTATCGAATCAGATGGTATTAATTCAGTTGTACTGTCCGGTTTGAAGTCACTTTTATCGCTGTCTTTGTCTTCATTACACAATTTTTCGATATCTTCTTGTTTTTTACTATCAAAGAAGGAATCATCTTTGTATACTTCACAGTTAAAATTTTCAGTGTGTAACATAGCCTTTTCCGTTTTACAATAATCTGTCCAATCAGTAGATTGATTTGACTGATTTTCTGTATTGATTAGTGGTTCAATAAGATTTTCCAACTTTTGAACATTATTTTCAAGATTGACAGCGCAATAGTCTAGCTGCGTCTGTAACGTTTCGTCTGGCACCGTGTGTTCTGAACTCACTAATTCTGACAACTTTTGTTCTGAGAGATAATGTTGTGCGGTATGTATTGCATTATCTAAATCTGAATGACTTGTTGAATCTGGAAGATTTGTCGGTACTTCGGATTCCACATTTTCCGTTTCTAACATTTTTGGACTATCATCCAACGACCTCATAATAAAAGCTTGCACGTCTTCAGCATCTTTATTGTCTTCTTTTTTACATAAATTTTTGTCCTCTTCTGTGTCAGAAGAATTTTCTATGTCATAAACTTCTTTGAAGGTTTCTCTGTGTTCTTTTGGAACGTTTTCTTCGGATTCATATCCTTGTATGTCTATTCCTGGTACATTATTGATTACCTTTTTCGCAGTACAGCTGAGTACTGTTTCATGCAAGAATGGATTGCTATCGAACAAACTTTCCTTTTCGTTTATTTTCGTTTCAGAGTTAGTAGTTTCAGAATTTACAGATACAGAATCATCTGGAGGCTGTGGTGTTGACGCGCATAAGACATCGATCGAATTCGTGTCCTCCAAAGAAGGTGTGTTCGGACGATCCTCGTCGTATGCAATCTTCGTAGACGGCTCGGGTGAACGCGGTGGTGTGTTCGCTTGTTCAGCACCATCAGAACTATCGTCCAATATGTGTAAGGCATTCAAATCAACTTTCAATTCGAACGCTTTGAAGCTAGCTGGAGTTAACGATACAGTCATGGGATCGTCCTTGGTGACAACACCATCTTCCAAATCAGAACCCGCATCGTCATGCGCCTTTTCATTCCACTGAGAAGAGACATCCGTCTGCCACTGTGAGGTAGACATTACATGCATCATGGATTCATCATCACCGATTTCAGCTTTGGTCGACGAAATGTCGGATATATCCAAACTCTGCGAACTATTATTCTGTAGCTCTGCATTTTCGTCGTGCGTTTCCTCGCCTATCTCCTTTGGTCGACGACAGACTTCCTTGTCGAATTCACTCTGGCTCGGTACACAAATATCATCCATGATCTGTGTTGTTTTCAGAGGAGAGCCACTAATGGCAAAATCCTTCAAATGTGTGTTGCTTCTATTGCATACTAACGGTGGTGATAACGGCACGAACTCTGCTGCCTCCGGATTCAATTGGAAATCCATACCTTCCAGAATACCTGGATAAATTGGAGGAAAACTTTTCACTCTGAACTCCTCTTTTTTTTCTTCGCTTATCTGAAAAAGCAATGGTATTATTCAAAGTACGTGCTCTTACACTGAATAATAAATATTTAACAATGAAGAAAAGTAACAAGATAGACTTACATCGATGTCGATAAGCTCAAATTTGGGGTCCAAAATAGTCGGGTCGTATTTAATATCGTCCTCTGCTCCCGAAGACTGAACTTCCAAGCTAGCTTCCGCGACAGACTCGGTCTCCTGTGCACTTTGCTCCTCAACGTCTTTGAGGGATTCGTCTGCCGTAACAGCTGTCACTGCAGTTTCCTGCTTGTTTGGATCGGCACGATAATAATCCCACTCGTCCTCGGAATCCTCGCTGTCTGCTACATTATCCGCTACGATCAGTGCATGCTGAAGAGGTTCTGGAATAAACGTAAGAGAAGTTAGACACATTGACAAATAAATTCACTTTGTTACATTTCTCACGTCATGTTACTTTCATTTATCGATAAAAACCGTGTTCACTGATATTATATCATTTCCTTTTTATATCTTTTAAATCGTATCAAATCGAGAAACCAAGTCCCACAACGTGACTTTTCATCGCAGAAAAGTGAATTCAGTGCGCACGTATTTATGTACGAGTAAACGTGACAAGTACGTTTCTTTATCTAATAATTTAATTACTTTCTTGGATTTTTACAGATTCTCTTGCGTTATTTTATGAAGATAGCAATGTTTAGTAGTATCAAGTATATTATATTAAATTTTTTGTATCGAGCTTTCTACAATAAATTCATATGCTTTTTTTTTTTTAAATTATTTAAAACGAGTTTAATATCAAGAATAATCTGGCTAAACTGACAATCCATAGTTTAATATAAAATTGTATTTAAATAGCTCTTACGAATTAGACTTACTTTTCACCTTTACATCGAATATTTCAATTATCGAATTATATTATATTATAGCTTTATTTCACCATCATGTAATCATCGAGAATAATTTATAAAATTCTCGATACTTTCAGCAAAAACTAACGAAAGATAATTTTCGACAAAAATTGCAGGCTAGATAATTTCAGTGTAACAGAACAAAATTCAGAACAAAAGGAAATGTTGAAAACGGTGTATGGGAGCGATATGGAAATACCTCATTCCAGATAATTACCAGCTTACAAAAGAGACATGTCGGTTCCCGCATTCATATTACGGAAATCATTGCCAATAATTGCACGCGACAATGGGACAAGATAGATAGTTTCAGCATAATTCGTTCGATAACTCAAGGAGTATCACCCTCGAAAACCGCACGCTCACTCGCACCGTTCACGTAACGAGACGGTACGTACCTGCAAGGTGTTTCCGCGGTGGAAATATTGAAGGAAGTATGAAATATCGAACGAGTAGTTCTCGGGAATCCGAAGTGGATACGAGCTATCACGTTTCCGTCAATATTCCGCGCGATTATCCCGGATCATTTTACGCGTCCGTACAGCATTGATACGCGCGGAACGGATCTCGATACGGAGAAAGCACACCTTTTATCTCGCGAGCCGAAGTGGCTCCAAAATGAAGAATATCTCCTCGTAGGTGCGATCGCCCTCCGGTGACTAAGAGGTACTACGCCCGCCAAGAGATGCATTATCGATCTAGCCCAGAGAGCCCCCGGAGCACTCTCTCTCCTCCTTCTCCACCTCTTTCTCCCCGCCCCATCTACGCACTGCCACCACCTACCTGTGCACTGTGACAGTTGGAGGAGAATTACTCTCGTCCGATTGGATGTGGACCTCGGAAATTGTCGAATCAATTGACCCGTTCGATACATCTATTCGCGTGAAATACTCGCGTGACAAAGGGCGAAGGGTGCTTTTTCGCAAATGCGTTTTATCTTTCCACCTTTCACATTTGACAGCAGTGGCGAGAGAACGAGGAACAACAAAAGACTTCGACATTTCTATTCCGGCGTAAAAAAATTTTCTGTCACTACGATATTACAGTCGCAGATTAGATTAAATGGATCTAAAAATCGATCCGATTGTCATACTCGATACATTTATTTCTTTTAATATTTGCGCGATTGAAACTCAACTGTATTTCCTTGCATTTTTTTGTTATTTAGAAAAATAACAATTCGGCAATTCTATTCTGAAACCAAGAATTTCCACGAGAACAATTAATGCAATATATATTAATTATAAATAAATCCTTTTCACATCATCATCATCATTATTATTATTATTATTACTCAGTAGACAGCAAATTAACACAATTTTAACTAAAGAATAACAAATTAATTTTAATTAACGTAACGTAATAGGTAATTTAGATACGTAATGAATCCGTACTTATTATATAGACCTATCGTAATTTAAACGAGCTGCCGAAATATAATAACACTAATTAATTATTGACCGTTCATCAATTTACATTATATCTTATTTAATATACTAAATTCACAAATAGAGACAATAAATTTAATAGACGGTGTGCCTTTGTTAAAGAGTTTCACTTGTCGGAAAAATTAGTTGGCCATTTGCATCTTTCTCTCTATCATGAATTTATGAAAAATGTAATTAAAATTAACTGTCGCTCTATAAAAAAATTAAGATTAACGGGCAAGAATATTTTAAATTATAGGCGAGTTTTCTGTAGAGATGGTCGCGTGAAAAACATTGGCTCGCCATTGCCGCGGGATTGAAACAAAATGAGAGCACGTCTGGAGGAAGGGAAGTAGAAAAAAAAAAAATCGTAGAAAGGCGTAAAGAGCAGCTGATAGAAACGTCCGTCGGCCCACCTGGCCGAGGCCGGAAAAATGTTGACGTGGAAACTGGTTAAGGGCTGCGCTGAAAAAAGCGCAGCCTACGTACAGAGCGTTCGCTTAACAACCCGTTCTTAATTTCGTCCCAAGTCTTGGCCACCAACGCGAACTCGTGCCAACTCGCAAGGTTCTCTCCCACGCGCTTGATCGCTTCTAACGCACTTTGAATCCGTGTGGATTATCGCCAAAGAACGCCATAATCCGATTATATATTATGATTTCGGGTAATAATATCCTGCGCCGTTTTTCGCTGCCATATGTCTTGGGAATCTTAGGACGTTGACCTTGCAAAAGTCTTCTCCGAGAGATCGTCGATACGTAAAATCCGCTTGAGATGTTTCCTCCGAGCAGCCTCTTCCGGCAGCTTTCGTCGATATCGCGTTATCCTCTACAAAATTCTAACTACTGTTGGTTCTAATAAACTTCGAAGAATACGCGTAGACATCAATCCTTTTTATTAGTTGTTACACGTTGAAACCATCTGTCGATACAGGACAATAGAAAAATATAGCTTACAATCTACAGTTTTCTATATGCTTCATCAATAGCATGAAAAAGTAGCTGTAGAATTCTTGTAAATTACTACATTAAGCTCTCCTTAGCTCGCATTTATAGAGTTAATCGGTTTCTTTCTTGGTTAACAGACCCCTTTAATTCCCCCCCCCTCCCTCCCCCCAAAATAAATTGACATTCAAGTTACTTATTCTACAGAGTATTATCGCAAAAATGATAAGATTGTTTGTTGTTTCTTATACAGATACAAGCTTGCGTGTAAAAAAATTGTCTGGCACATAAAAATATCTGGACATATAAATTCAGACTGCAATCGTTATAGTCAACGTCATTCTAATATCGTCGTGTTAACGCTGTCGAAATATCGCGGAATTTCTCGAGAACGGTTAAGAAATTCCAAGGAAAAATCCATCTAAATAAAATATCTTTTCTAAAATGCGACCATTGCGTTCCATGAGGCGTCTCTATTGAAAAGACGTCGCGACGAGCGACCAACGCCCGACGTCGCGTCGCGCAATTTCAGTTCGTCGGGAAGCACAGTGGAATCCTCATGGCATGCTCACCATACGAGTTAAGAGAGAACGAAGGAGGAAAAAGGGCGAGCGCGTCCTCTCCTCTCTCCTCCTTTCTCCCGTATTTTTTTTTTTCATTTTCACAGTAAGTGCCGCGTTTCGCTGCGAGTCGCAAAGAGTAAAGAGGGAGAGTTAATTTTAAACCAAAGTCACACATAGAGGATCGCAGGGGCAAACACGTGTATGTGTATGTATATGTATATATTATACATTTTGCGTGTGTGAGAAGAGAGAGAGAGAGAGAGAGAGAGAGAGAGAGAGAGAGAGAGAGAGAGACCAGTTTCTCTTCTATAACTTATATTCTGAGATGTAAGAGATTCTGGTGTATTACGGAGCCGGCGGCGTATGTTCCAAAAGATACGGATATGTTCGAGAATGTAGAACGACGAGATATTTGTAGATTAGATAGTTACATTACGAGTCTAGAAGTTTCAGAGAGGATGACAACGGAAATGGTGAAAATAAGATTAAAGCGGAAACTTCAGGAAAACAAGGCTGAAAAAATTGGAAATTTCTGACAAAAACACAGATACGGATTTTAAAAAAGCATATAAATAATAAGTATATAAATAAATAATAAAGAATTTATAGATTATTTGAGGACAAATAAAAGGAAAGAATGATATTGCTGAAGTAAAATTTTAGGTAGATACAGATCGAGGAATAATTTTGCTGGAATAATTATGTAGGAAACTAAAGTATGCCGGGCAATGATGCGAAAAGTTTTGACATTCTAGCAACTAACTTCTATAATTATTTTGACAACAAATAATTTGTTGCTCATTCAAATTTGGTACGGAGACATTGTCTAAATTTATTGCTCTCGAGATATGCAAGCAACAAATTCGTAACTTGCATATCTTGAGAGCAACAAATTCAGAGAACATTTCCGTACAATTTTAAACAAGTGATAAATTTTCTGCTGGTACTTAACCTTTATACCGCCTACATGCTGAGAAGTTTTTTCGATATTATTTACTTATTTCGTAAGTAACACTGATTCAAAACTTGAATATTTCGATAGCAACAAATTTTTACATTATTTTGAAACGTAATTTATTAAAATATATATATATATTTCTGCTAATCTCTTTCTTCTCGGAACATCATTAAAAAAAACTGAACAATAAATTTCTGTTCTTAGCAACAAATAAAAATGTTAGGATTCCGCTTATTTTGTTCCGTTAACTTATAAGACATTATTTTCAGATCTGAAAGTTAAACTTTTTAGAGACCTCAGTAAAACCATTCTTACTGTGTAAAAGAAAAAAATTATATCCTTGATGTACTTTACACTTTTAGCATGCTCTTTCGCAAAGATGAAGGAAAGAGAGAGAATCTTTAATTATCAATGTCTTGTTCATGCAATTATTTGCGGAACGACGACGAAATGATTGCTTGTAACGGCTCGCTAATTTACATACGAAAACGCCAGGGCGCAGCGGCGCATATTTCACGCCCGAGAAACCAGACGCGGCCTAAAAAGGAATTCCACGGGCTTGAGAGTCGCGATAAAT